TTTTTCGAACGACGATTAGTTGAATCTGATAATTTTATACTATAATCTAAATCAACCATTCGCTTGGATCAAGTTGAGCAACCACGCGGAAATTTTGGAGAGCCTCTTGAGGATTTAAGTTATTCAATTCCAGAAGTATTAAGAATACTGAAGGAAGATAATGTTTTTCCGAAATTATATGGATTTCAATGTTTTGAAATCCTGGTAGTGCTTATAAGACGCCGCCAGTCTATCCGCCAAATTTTCCCTGTCAAAATCCATGGCTTTAAAGTAGGTCTATTTTCAAAACTTTTCCTTAATTTTTTAAATATTTACGGATTTTCCTTTTTCATCCTTGTGAACAATTTCCAAACGGTTTTTCGTTTTCCAAAATCGCTTATTTTCATTTAAAATTTTCTTGGAAAATAAACACATTTGTGAGGTTTTGATGGGGTTTTAAGTGGTGATCTGATATGATGCGATAAAGCCAAATGACAGGTAGTTCACGTGGTATTAGTGATAACATGAAATATGATACTACATTGTTATTATTTAAGACAATATATTATTGATGCTGTTTTAGTTATACTACAAAATTATATCATTGGTATCACATATCATCATTCGATAATACTAAACACACAGGTAGTATGGTTGATTGAACGTACTACATTTATTCCTGCCTGACCGTAAGGTTATAAGACGTTTGGTAAGAAACATATAAACTCAGTTGATGGTGATATTGTTAAAATGTAAAGATCTTGGGACAATGTTAGAGGAAACCCAAAGTTTGTTTCGGTGGATGACTGAATTTACCTTGACTACCTAGAATGACTGAAGGATAATTCTTAATGGAAGCCAGCGAAGACTAATGGAAGTCAGATAACAAACATTTTCACTGCATACACATGCATTATAGGAAAGTTGTGGCAAATATTAACAACAGGTAAAAGGTGGAACAAGGGAAAACACAAATGAAACTGCTGAATAATTCAAGAAGCTGGCATGGGAGAGTCAACAACCAAATTAATAGCGAACATTAGCTATTGCCAAACATGGTGCTCAATGCGTGCCCTCAAGGCAACTGATTTACATGGGTAATAGGAGGAGTATCCTCATGCACACATTATGTTATATGCATACCAGAGAAACCGGATATCCACACGTGTAGTGAAAGTTAACAAAGCTGTTCGCTAATTTGCAAACATTAGCTGAACGGAATGCTAAGTAAGCGTTATGACGCTTTCTAGCTATTTCGATTCTGAGTCGGAACGAACGAACGTTCCTCAGGTATAGTGCTTCACGCGCGCAAAATAGTCATTCCAATTCGGAACGTTGCAAACTAATGTGGCGTAGCTGCCAGACGAGCATGCATTATTGGACCGATGACCTAAAATTTGTAACCTATCCTTAGCGACCGAGACTCAAGAAGAAAGACTGATCGGCGCATAAGTAGTCACTGGGTGATAGTGTCCTGAGAAAAACTCAATTAGTTTCATTGTTGCTTCGTGCGGTATCCGCCACCGTGTTCTGACGAGAGTTCGCGAGGTTCACTGTATGCGAAATAGATCAATAATTGTCCTGAGTACAGTTCTGTTGTTCACGGTGGCTAGGCATCTAAGTGCTGCGAACGAATCGGTTGCAAGTTTCACAGCAAAGTCGCCGTATCGTAGTTGTATGTTTTAGGTGAGCTAGGCGAAATCAGTGCACGTTTAACGGGACTCTAACAGCTCCGTAATGGCAAGCCTGTCTGGTCTGAAATCACAACTACTAAACAGATTTGCGCGTGCGAAATCCATTTCACCTACCGGCATTTACCAGGAAAAAATAGCGCGAAGAGGAAAATATTTAAATGCATATTGTTACCAGTTCTCACAACCCGCCTTCTATAGCATTGCCGTCTGCGTCTTCCACACCAAAAGGCTTCCTATGGCCTCCATGTCCTCGCTAAAATATTTCACAACCTATTGCCAACCTAATGATTATGGCCCCCAGCTGGACCATATGGCTCCAGTTGAAAATGGATGTCTAGGCAGTCTGACGAGCGAATGAGTCTGGTACAGCAATCTATAGTCATCTCAAATGTAAGTTAGCAACCCAATAGTTTAAAGCTGGAGAAGTTCTAGTACTGACCGGACCAGGTGAAATTTTGCTCAAGGCACCTCTTATTTAATCCATCATTCCTGCGAATTATGAGTGTGTCCAAATATAGCATAAAATAGTTTTGTTATACTATACGCGTAACCCCTAAGTTAGCTTGCGCACCGTCAATGCGTTCAACAAAATGTCTGAGCTGCTGGTCCGACAAAAAACCAAGATAACCTAGAAATAACGTTTGTGGTAGGCTACCTGGGCTACTTCCGGAGAAAAACTATTTAAATCATCAGATTGAAGAAATCTGGGCGAACATCAACTATTGGACTACCCGTTGCTTCACATTCAGTTTGACGATATGATGGGTTCCGGAATAGAAAGTTCACGTTCTCCATGCGTGATAGCAGAGTTTCTTTCAGCTATTCAGCTAAGGTTTTCAGCTTCTTCGGATATAAATTCAACTCTCTATTATAGCGAAATGTAGGTAAATAATAATTATTCATCAAAGAAACGCATGCCTATTTTTGATAAATTAAATTCATCCCGTTCGCCAGAATTAAAGTATGAGTAAGGCTTAACGCTCGGAATTTTTGTTTTAGCGAATAAAGCAACTTTACTAGCCAACCAGCCGGTTTGTACTAGGGCACGTTCACTTTGCAATATTGGCCTTGGCGCCAATTCACTAGGTGTGTCATTTGGGACGAAGGCAACAGTGGAATATTAATACCACTGGGCTTCAAACATTTAAAAGTATCACAGAATATCATACGGAGGAGGATAAGCAATTCAAGTGAGCAACATGCACGTTCGACACGGCTTAAGTCAACCAAGATCAGTTCCGGAACAAACATTACCGCAAAATTAATGACGTAGCAATGGGTAGCACAGTAGTGCGTTTTCACCCGGATTTCTTCACGCTGACAGGATAAAATAGTTTATTACGGAAGTAACCCAGGTACCCTAGTACAAACATTTTTAGATGGTATCTGGGTTGTATTTTTGTCGGAGCAGCGGCTTACACATTTTGTTGAACGCATCGACGGTGCGCATGCTAACGTAGGGGTTACGTTCAAAGTACAACAGAACTAATTTATGCTATATATGGACATCCTAATAAGTCGTAGGGATGATGAATTAAACAAGAGGTGCCTTTAGCAAAATTTCACCTGGTCCGGTCAGTACCTGAACATCTCCAGCTTTAAATCATTGGGTTACTAATTTACACTTGAGATGACTATAGATTGTCGTGTCAGACCAAATCGCTCGCCAGAATATCTGGATGCTGAGAAAGTGTTAATTACAGATAGACTATTGGCGATCGGCTTTCCTTGCAAATGTATTGATAAATACATACAACCGCGAGGGAAAAAGATCGCGCAAACGGTATCCACGAAGAGAGTGTATGGCAAATTACTCTGCAAATTTAATTTAGCCAAGCTAAGGAAAACAGCGTATAAAGTTGTCTGCATAAAAAGCAAGTCTGCGGCACCAGTTGTTGTTATCATCCGGATATTTATTTGCTTATACCTCAAACGGAGGAAGCTCAGCCGCTTGGAAACCAGCTCAAACGGTGTATAACAATTTGGTTGTGACTGCGGAAACATTTACATAGGCTGTTCGAAAACGACCCTGAATTCCCGGAAAAAGCAGCATGTGCTGAAATGGCTTCAGCTTGAATTTGCCGAGATATCCTACATCCATCAAATTCGGAGCTTGCGTAGACCGCCGGGCTCCTCACTAGCATCAGGTCTCCAGTTATATGTAGACACAGAGTTCAATGTTGTGCTACATCAAGCTAATCTGCGCTCCCCTCGCTTTTCTAACACGGTCGCAATAACCAGAAGAATCCATTCCTGTGGGTTCAAAACAATTACTTTCAGGCTATAGCTGCCTTGAATGTCGTGGAGAACATCCATTATTCGTTCTACATCTCAAGTTTGTTTAATTTCACCCACTGTTAGCTACATATTTACTTGTGTGAATGGTACTTAGGAGACAATACCAAATGCATGCGCATTCCAGCCTTTATTTTCATTCCGTAATTTTATATCAATTGCGAGTTTTAGCAGCATTTTATCGTCCGGGCTGTGTCTACCTTCATTCCTTTTGTGGATACCATATGAAATGGTATTTCTGCTTAAAAAACCTTACTTTCTTTAGAAGCGTAGCTATTTTCGGCATTTATTATACTAATATATGTCCTGGCTTGTACGATGTGGAGCCTTAGATAATCCATCAAATTACCACAATACACCGTTTTATTCTGCTACTTATTAAATATATATTACACTTCCTTATTCTATCCGCGCCATATCCAATTGTTTTGAAGATGTATTTTACCTGGAGCTCAGCAGTTAATATAAAACTACGCCCCCACTAGTTTTAGGATTGTCATAGTTATTACTATTAAATAAGGTAAAATTTGTAAGCGAGAATATCTGACCACATTTCTGTAAAACTAAACACTGCTGCAACTTAGACTACAGAGAAACCTGTGTTGACACATAGGCCCCTACGTCGTTTATCAATATAACAATATCCGCTGGTCAGTTAGCCGCTGTTTGTGACTTTGTCCCAAACGTACACACCTGTGTTTTGTTAAGGATGCAAGTTACAAGCTAAATGACCAAAAAGAACGCTTCCACTGAGGAGCACCTGTCTTTTCTAACGAATAAAATCCGCAAGCGGAAGCACGTGGGCTACACTTTAAGACATTTACTTTACTTGACACAAAAACACTTTCTTTAATTTTAACATAATATGCTAAAACATTCCTATTATAAACAGTAACGGAAATGTGATCCTTCAAACTGCAGTTTATTAAACTGAGCAATAATTGTTACTACGTGGTACTAAACTACTTAGTAACTATAAACGTAAATTAGAACTCACTTTAAACAGCATGCCAGCGGATGATGAAAATGTTATCACAAAGTAAGTTTCTCATAAAAGATATTCATAGGCACTTGATTTTTCAACCTTCCAACTTTTATCGTAACCTTATTTGCCGCTTTCTGTAAGGAAAGAAAAAGCATGTAGCGGATAGAACTGAAATGTGTTATCTGAAATGTATTTTGGTGGAAAGAATGCGCTGCAACATCATTTGCCTTTAACAGCAAATCGCGAAAAGTTTGTATAAAAACGTCTGTGGTTTAATTGAACAGCGTTTCAGCGTGTGATTTATTGATATAATTAGTTATAAGTAATCATGAACATAACGTATTATCGTTATTTGGATTAAGGCTAATATTGCTATATTCCAAATCAAATTAATGTAGGGTTATTAGGCATTATATGCCCAGAGTAATATAAGTAAATTTTAATTTACATAAGATATGTGACTATGTGAGAGTCAAAATATTTTTGCAAGTATTTAAGTGTGCTTTTCAATTCAAATGAGCGGCGTTCTCGCCAGAAACACCTAGTACATTCCCACCTCGATTTCTTGAGCTTGTTGATTTATTCTCGTGAAACAACGTTAAATGTGCAACATCGACATGACCAAATATTACCATTAAATCCCGGACGACGAGAGCCAGTCGCTCATTTCCATTGCTCTTGCGAATTATTGTATTCACCGCCATTATCCCAGAGGACAATGTTTTGCTTGTATCGGTTCAACTATTATTCACTAGCGCTACAAAACAGGCCTGGAACCAAAGTTCAATTCTTTCTATCCCACTGCTTACCTCGCGTCTATAGTTCTGACAGAAGAACTGCCGAATCACACAAAATGAAACACCACATCCTCCAATCGCTCTCTAGCCATCATAAACTAATAATTGTGGGGCATTGCGTACGTTGGCTGCAACTTATTTAGCATCCACAAGCATCAAGTCATCAGGCCACCGCGAATCCGGCGCTCACACACGCCGACCGACCATGCATGCGCACTCGCTTAAACACCCTATTCAACCTCATCTTCACACTGTAAACCGGCATAGTCTATAACAACTGAACCCAAACAGCGACGATCGATAAGCGCCAGCCTTCGTCATCTCAGTACTTGTGAACTCCAAGTAACCTCGCGTTCATGTCTCCAAGTGTGTGCATCCTGAGAGCTTGCAATCAAAACGGAACATGTACTTACCGGAACGGTAAACATAACTCACCCACGGACGGAGAGAGGAAGAATCTGGAAGATCAATCTGGACGCATTTTCCAGGCTATCATCGGCTCTGACCTTGGAAAGCCTGACATTGAGAGCTCTAAAATGCGACCTGTGACATTGCACCAAGCAGATAACGGCGCGCAAACTGAACTCTCCAGACAGTAGAATTTCGAGAACAGGCGGTTTATTCGCCCTAGTATCGTACTTGAAATATAGGATGTAACCCTGGTTAGTTTCTATATTGAGATTCCATCAAATTCTTTCCCACCCGACATAAGTTGCTAATCGTCAAACGTATTTAATGCCAGGCAGATGTACCTTTTGACTACGTTTTTCTGAAATATAGCAGCAGCTATATCTTCAATTTTACCAATATACACAAAAACACCTGGGCTAAGAATTAAATCGGATTTTCTAGCCGTTCACCTACACGGTTGCTAAATTCAGTTTGATCTAACGAAGCGTAATGATTACCGTATAAAACGCCAGCGTCATGAATCGTCTGCCACTTGCTGGCTGGCATCTGCTATATATACCCTGAACGAGGCTTCCGTGTTATACCAACATTAATTACAAACTTATGGATATTAGCTAATTGTTTACCGATATAATACTGAACAAGACGCTCCAGCTTATCTTTAATCAAGAAAAGGAGTAGCAACTAGAGATGAGCATTCCGATCTCGGAAGTAGGACGTATGTTGTTATATACATTAAACGTGAAGTTCTGTTTTAAAGAGCAAGGCTATTGCCAATTGGATGGCTTCGCAATGGGTATTGGCAGCTATCTTCGTATCCCGTTTTGAGAAACAAGTCAGGAAGAGATCAATAATATATCGTTGTTTAGTAATTATTTGGTAGGCATTTTGCTGATATGTGACAGTGAGGACCAGTTAACCCAATTAGGTACCAAGTGGAATGACCTACACACTAACACTAGAGTGACAACGGAACGCGAGAAACACTATTCTTCCTTTCCTTGACAAACTAGAAGAACGTAGGAGTGACAGCACAATACGCATATTAGTTTTCCGCAAGACAACGGAAGTGACAATACTTCAAACACTGCATTTTCTCCAAGCGGTACAAACTAATTATATTAAGACTCTGTTCCATAGGGCTGGAAATATATGCACTGTTAACACATTTGTAGAAAATACGTACCCGCCGTCCTTCATCGCTCAGATTAATGCTGTGAAAGCCGAAGAAATGGTGCCCACGATGCCGAAGCTTAAATAACCAAGCAACTGCTATTCAAGGATATGACGTAAGCCAAGCATTGCACCTTCGATTAAAATCCGTACGGCCCCGCCTAAACTTGCGGTGGAACCAGTACCAAGCTACACAAGGAGTCGTATCCCTACTATTTCTGTTAGACCCCTGCTGTCGCTGTCCAACCTTTCACACATCCTGTGCCATTTTACTTATTTTTGCAAGGCAGAATATGTGTGCGTGCCAGATGGATAAATGAGGGTGAGGTTCGCGGAGTAAAAACTTGATACAAAGGACTGCGTCAGTCACCCAGAATGTGCAGCCAATAAAGAGTAATAATTACTTTTCCTAAAAACAGGCAGCGTGCTCAATCGTCCACCATCGTCTGGCTGGCATCCATTGTGTAGATGCTGAACGAGCTCCGTGTTATCGATACCACAGTCAACCACCTAACTTTACGATATGCTGAGGTTGTGGCTATCAGATAAATTTGCCCAAATCTATGTTTGAAAAAAGACAAATGTTGACACCTACTCTGAACTGGTAGGAGGACGGAAAGAGTTGAAAAGGTGATTGTGTGCGTTTAGTCGAGTTGCATTTTCAACAACCCTTATTTGAAAATGCTATAAATTCCGTCATCTATAGTACACAATTTCAGATATGCAAAGAAATGTTTCCGGAATTAAATCGTGCGGCACTCCTGCTTTAAATTGTTTGCTAAAAACTAGCTTCGTTTGAGTATTTACGAGCAACATTCCGAAAAGTTAAACTTCTAACCTTCCTGTTGCTAGCGGTTAAACCGAAATAGGGACCTCCTTAATTCAGCCAGCGTCTTCATTGAAAAAGTGGTGCCTAAAAGCTACGATGTACGACAAAAGAAATAACGGAAAATTTAGTCGACAAATCGCTTTGGACATCAATAAAATATATTCCTTGCTTAAGGAAGGTAATATGGAAGTATTTTGATGCAACTCTGTAAGACTCCGGTAGAGAGAAGCGCGAAAAATCTCCATATTGCTTTCCCAATCAGTGATTCAATAGTAGCAAAAGAATTCACTAAAAAGGCATGCAGCTTGGAGAAAGATCCATCTTCATATCTCAAAGAATAAAGACCAAAAAAAGGCGTATACAAAGTTTGGCCTAGTGAGCTTTCGCCATCTTCAGACTGCAACCTGAATACTGGTTCCGACATAGTCACTACCAGGACTAACTTAATTGCTTATCAGCACGGATAGTACAATCAGCCTTCAAATAAAACATACTAACCATAGCGAATTTACGTAGCTGTGGTAGCTCATCACTCTAATTGCTCAAAAGCTATACGGTTAAAACACTAACCGAATCCTTATCATTCGGTGTTGAAAGGCTAAAAAGTGTGAATGCAAATCATTCAAATCACAAGATATTGCACTAGAAACCAAACTGCGTCAACGCAAAATTGTGTACTACCCCATCCACTGGCACAATGGAACCCATTAACTCTTTAATAATGATAAGAGTTGCAGTCAGAGCTCTACCTGTTCTGAATACCAAAACGGACCGCAACCTTCCCCAAAAACCAGCACAATCTCTATCAGAATTTAAAATGTAACACAGTCTCTGATTACTAAACACTCATGAGATCCATCTTGACCCGTTTACTGAACAATCCTCCAATCATATGAATTCGACACAGTGATGTAGAAGGTAACCGGATTACCACGCGACTAAGCTCCACTTTATTACTTGGGTCCACGATCCAATATCCCATCATGCAACCCATCTAAATCAGCCTTTCACTAAACAGACGACAAAAAAGAAACTTTTATGACATTCACAAAACAAAGCATAACTGAAAAAACTACAAACAGTTTTTTAGCATTCACAGTCGTCTCTCCAAGGCCAACTAAAAAATTGCCTAAAATTTTAACTTTGTGCCCCACATGGTCTAAGAGGAAAACAGCATTTCAAAGTAACCATGCATTCACTGTCCCCAATTCCGCAGACTTTCGGGGAGAAACTAGCACACAGCCTCATGCGGTGGAGTGAACATGATTTCTGCACACTCCCAGTATTTTTCGACATTGGATTTTTTCTTGTTAACATTTTGCTATCCGCCTTTGCTTGCTTGATGGTATATGCCGATCAGTTTCTCCCTGGTCAGTAGCGCCACATACTGCTGTCTGCAGTATGCGGTGTTATCCCAGTTGTTAGCTTTCTGACTGTGTTAGTGAAGAAGTGTGGAAATCTAACAGAAGTAATCGAGCAACTGGTGAGCCACAGGTCTATACGAATGGGAGGTTACGAACCTGAAATTGTATGGAAGTACGCAATTCAAGTTATCTATTCATGCCATAGAAGAGGATAAATAGTCCCAAGCATACCCTCAACGTCTCAGTCTTCATTAATACAAACGCCCTTTCTCTCTCACATACAAGTGAAACGATTTCATGCAGCGTGCCTGCTTCAAATTTGATACAGTGTGTTACACTTATTAATTTGTGTGCTATACAGGAGAACCTAACCTGCAGTCAACCAACCATAGTGAGGAACCAGGTAACATACGCATCGGTTACCGCCAAGCACACACCTGTAAGAGCACCGGTAACCATGGTTGCCGAATACTGAAAATTAAGGTGTCGCAGTACGGATGGCCTCCATCAGTGCCGTTCACAAACGATTCACTAACACGGAAAGTATGGTTCCAAAACCA